TGGCCCATCCTCACCCTTCTGCCCCCAACCCTCACCTCCTTGTACCCCCAATATGTTTTTCCCAATAAAAAAAATATTTAAAAAAAAACAAAAAACAACAAGGACAGTTGTGTGCAGAGAGAGGTGAAGCCCCAAACTTGTCCGATCCTTATGCGCCCTCCAGTGCCCGCTAGACGCATCTTTCAAACAGCATCTCTGCAGGCCATTTCTAAACTGTTGTTCAGAGTTGGGCTCGTGAGCCTTGCCCTCCCCGTCACCTCGTTTAGGCGACTTGTCCCTGCAGCCTGGCCTCCCATCTCTCAGCCTGCCCTTTATCACCGGCCCCGCCCCGCGTCGCGCCACCTGGTCCCGCGTAGTTTCTGGCTCAAACACGCCAAACTCTCCAGCCTCCAATCCCCGCCTCCGTCGCAGGCCCCGCCCCCGTCGCCGGTTCCCCGCCCCGAGACCAGAAGCCCCGCCCCGTGGCAGGCCTCTGAACAGTCTCCGCCCGGGTGTGCCTCCGGCCACACGCTCTTTTGGCTGTGTTGCGCACGCGCAGTGCTGGGTTTCCGGGGATTTGCAGGCGTGTGGGCTACTGTGACCTGGAGTGCCGGGACCGTGGAGTTATGGCTTCCGTGGGTATGGGCTTGCAGGGCACCCTGCAGCAGCTGCAGGAATCTTTGTCCTCTGTGGACCGCGGCAGCGCTGCGATAGCCACACATCACCTGATCCGCGGCCTGGGCTTGGAGTGCGCGCTGAGTGCGAACCCCGCTGCGCTGGGTGGGTACCGGCCTGTGGCCAGCGGGGGTGGGCGTCCATGTGTTCTGGACTTTAGGAAGCTGAGGTGTCCTATCTCCAAAGAGACACCGCTAACCCAAAGGAAGCACTTTTCTTGCGATTCGAGTCCCCCAAGGGATTCTGAGGACGGGCAGTCTCTCCTCTGATTTGCAACCGCAAAAACCTGCTGGTGGGTCAGCCGTAAGTCGCTTCCCACTAGACAAGGAGCTGACTTAGTAGTTCTGCAGTTATTTTACCTCTTTATGTACTTCTCCGTTCCCCACTTTAGAGCAGACGTGTTTCACACTAAGATTTTCTGAAAATGTTCCCTGATTTGCCGGTCACTGGTATCCCAGATGAAGGGAGAGAGAAGTAACTGAAACCGAGCCCAGCATTTGCAAGGCTGTGACTTCATGCAGGCTGATTGCCTAGGCTTTCTCCTGCAGAGCTGCGTGCAGCTGGTGGGTTTCAACCTTCCGGTTAGCGCTGAGCGCTTACCCACAGGGCCAGCAGGAATCCCTGTTTCATTTTAGTGCCATCCAAACCCACTAATACCCTTTAGAAATCTATAGACTTGCTTCTGCTTTTGAAACTCTTCTGGGGACTTAATGCTGCTTGTATTCGGATGACAACCGAGTTCAAACCCACTCTGTTAGAACTCACTCACGGTGCGCCTCCACAGGAGAAAGATGTAGAAATTCGCCATCAGTGAAGATTGTTGGTAGTTATTGTTAGGAAGCGATTACCTTATGAATAACAGATATGAACCTTGTGCTATGCTGTACCGTCCTTATCTCTGACATGTTTGAGCTTATTGATGTAATAGTTGTGTCATCCGTCTAGTTGAGGGTCTTCCTTTCACTGACCTTCCACTTTTCCAAACATGATGAGTATTTTTCAACGATCAGCCTCTCCTAACATGCCCATAATATATGAGATGAAGCTTCACCATCCTTGCTTTTATGGAACACTCTGGTGGCATCACCTTGAAAACCCTGTGGGCAATATTGCCTACCTACAGGCTAGCTTGGTACAAGTTGGCAGTGGGTTTGAATTTTGATTGGATGAGAAAATATTTGTCTCTTCATACTAAAAATTCCTCTATTTAGCCTTTTCTTATTTTGTTTTGTTTTTAGGTACTGTTGAGTAGACTTATGACTCATAGTGGCTCTGAACAACAGATGGGATCCTTGTCCTGTTCTGTGCCATCCTCCAACCTCTGAACTGCTTGCTCCTGTTGTTACAAACAATCCATTTTGTTGAGGGTCAGTCTTTCTCTGATCCTCTCAAGAAGTACATGGGAGCATATTCTCCATCATTCTCTCACAGAGCAGTTGGTGGATTTGAAACATGTTTCTTGGGAGCACAGCTCATTAACGCCAGGCCACCAGAGATCCCATCTTACTTCCTCAGGCTGTTAATTATATGCCTGGACTTGTTCTGTGCTTACTCTCAGCTGACTCTCTATTGGGTTTCAGAAGCTGTAAATCCAATAGGAGGAGATTGCCTATCTTTGTCCCTTGGAGCTGTTAGTGGATTCAGACTGCTTTCCAGTAGACCATCCGATTATGGATTGGTAAAGTTTTCTAACGATTAGGGTTGAAAAGTTTCATCATTATAACCGCTAAGGAGTACCCTGGTTGCACTTCCTCTAAGATTCATTTGTTCTTTGTACATTCCATGAGTTGTTTGAAACTTCATTAGCACCACAATTCAATGGCTATCAATTCTTCAGTCTTCTATTCATTATCCAACTTTTGCAAACATAGGAAGCAGTTGAAAATACAGTGGCTTGGGTCAGGTGTACCTTGGTCCTTAAATTGACCCACTTGCTTGTTAGCATTTTTAAAGAGGTCATTATCAGGAGATTTTCCCAAAGTAGCACATCTACTGATTTCTTGACTGCTGCTTCAGTAGGTGTTGATTATGGATCTAAACAAAAGGAAATTGTTGCCAACTTCATTCTTTCCTCCATCTAGCATAATGTTGCTGTTCTCTAGTAGTAAGGATTTTTTATGTTGAAATGTAATGCATACCTACTCTTTGATCTTCATTCAGTAAATGCTTTAAATCTTCACTTTCTGCAAACATGGTTGCATCATCTGCATAAAGCAGGTTGTTGAGTCTTCCTCCAGTCCTATGCTGGATTCTTTATATATTCCAACTTTACTATTTCTTGATCTTTGGCTTAAAGATTGGTGCACTTATTTGTGTAATATTTGTATTAACAGTGCTTCCTTCCATACATATGGATGTTATCCTTTCCCTGGCATCATTGTAACTTTAGGATTGTTGTTATTGTTATGTGCCGGCGAGTCGCTTACGACTCATAGCGACCCTATGCACAACAGCCCTAAACCCTACTCTATC